TATTGTCAATCAAAGGTCCTGTTATTTGGTTACTCATGCAAATTAGGCAATTGGACATAAACATTGCCATGTGTGGAGTGTTTTTTATTTTTAACCAGAAAATAAACAGCAATTTTAACGGTGTTCCAATAAGAATTCATTGGTCAAATTTTCACAGAATGTTCTTTAGATAAAAATCTATATAAAAAACGAAAAAAACTATTTTTGATTGAAATTCACAAATAAACTGCATCTCTACCTTAAAGGAAATTCAACTTTAAATAGTGACATTAATCAAAATATAAACATTTACTTGTTTAAGCAAACATTTGTGTGAACTTGGTGATCAGCAATATCTGTGATGGTACGTCGGCTGCACTGGTCGTTTACCGATCATGCAAGTGCATGGCTGCCTTTGTTTCGCTCGGTGGTGACGATGTTGCCGCTACAAGTCACTGCGTGAACTTTGTTTTAACCATAGATTTTATGTTTTAACAAATGGTTTTACCGATAACGATTTTATATATTTGACGTCACCCTGGCAGTAAAAATGTGGGTACGGTAATACACTTTTCATTTTTAATCGTGTTGAAAAAACTTGCACATTTTTGTTAGGTGGTGCATAGAGGTATAAACTGTTTATACCTCCATGGGCAGTGTTATCACCTCACAGTTGCCACTTAAAACAATGAACCAGTTACCCTGAGCATGATGATTCATCTTCGGAAGACAATGAGTGATGGCCTGTTTTGTAAGCAATTTTTTGTCTGGGACTAGGGCGCTGACAATTTAAAAAGGGCGCCAATTTCAGATAACAGGGCGTGGCGCCCTGTTAAAACCCTTTGTAGAGAACCCTGGGGTACTTACTTATTTTACTTAAAATATCCTAATATTGGCAATAGCTAAAAACACATTGCGTCTTTTTTGGGCCATGAAACATTGCAAGTGATTGTGTTTTGACAGAAGTGTTGCTTTCTGACAAGTGATTCACCACAGCATCAATATTTTTGTAATCACTGATTTTTACTATACAAATTTTACCATAATTTAATTTGAGTTCTTACACTGAGATTATTATATTATTTTTAAATATAATTTTAATTTTGTTGTATATGATAGGTTTGATTGACACCTAAAATTTAATTCTTTCCTACAGTATGTGTTTCAACCACAAGTATTATGTTGTTATGGTAAACAGCTTTGTACTATAGCCAGAGACTCTATTTACTGGAGTTACCAGAACAGGTTAGTCACTTGAATATAGCATGCCTTTGTCTAACTAAAATGTCCAGTATATGTTGTAATGTGTATGTGTAGTATTATGTCTTATGTGTAGTTATCCATGTTAATTATATGGTTTCTACAAAGATTTAGGAATTTTATGACTAATTTGTTTTTATTACTTTACACAAAATGTTGATAAAACTTACCGGTATTTGCATTTATGCTCATTCAGTTTCTAATATATAGGTTGTATAAATGTTTGTCCTGGGTAGGACAATATTAATGTTAAAGTTCGCTTTTATTCTGATATTGAATTTACCATCCTTCCCTTGTCATAAGCTCAGAGGCCTCGACATGTAAAATCAGGAAAGGTAAGAGGTGGGCGTATTCCCAAAAACCCCTCTTGAAACATTATTGAAATGACAATTATCCTTTACCATGTGCTGAATTATGGGGTATATTGCATCTTTTTATGGAAAATAAAATTGCAAAATGAGATGCATAGTTACTGATTTCATAACACTTACGATGTAGAACATTAATAATACCAACCACTGAAATTTATGCCATTTTTTAGTCCGATTCAGGCTGTGCCTGAAAGGGGGGTATAGTTTCCTATTTCCAGTTTTCGTCCATGATGTTTCCTTTACATCTCTAACATTTTCTCAGAAATTCTGCAGCAGATATTGATGAAACTTGGCAGGTTGATGAATGGTCGGTTGAATATGCACATAATTTTTTTTTTCCAGATCTGAAAATCCTTAGTGGGTCTTTTTCATGATTTTCATAAATTACCTCTCCACTTAGAGAACAACTGAGCATGCGGTTAGATGGTAATGCTAGGGTTTTCAGTGATGTCATGACCATGATCAGAATCAGTGACAGAAATGGACCACAATCTGGTTTTTGTTTTGTTTTATGAAAACAAAATCTTGAAGTAATAGTCAGAAATGTTGTTGTATATTAAACTATAAAAATTGCATTCCATTATAAAGAGCCATCACTGAAATACTTGGTCACAAAGTTGAAGATCAGTAAAAACACTTCGCAGTTATTGTTTATAAATTGACACATGTGGTGCAAATATAACTTCAGATGTCAGGGCTGTGGATAAATGGGTCATACTATTACAAATCTCAGTGGACACAGTAGAGGGGGCTACATTCAAGTTGATGGGAATTATAGTGGTGATACTGAAACAACCCAGGTCCTGGTAATATACAACGACCTGAATTAACAAAAAAGTCAAGTTATTAAAGATACATCAAGGTTTACTTTATGATGCCGTTTCTTGAGCATGTACGAGACATAGTTTGGTTGCACCTGTGTACTCTGGGATTTTGGACATGGGTCAATGGAAGTTTTCAGTTATCAGTACAATACTAAATTAAGGGAAATCACTTTATGATGAGTTGTACCCACATAGAGTACATATTAATTCACCTGTTTGCAGATGTTCCATGTATTATTTTAACATGAGTATTTTATAATTAAATGACTGGGCCAGTAAAAAACACCCTTGGCTTATAATCGTAGATCCCCCTCAACTTGTTAAATGTCGGAAAATATGGGATGAGCTTATACCCTGGCTTATGACTGGGGAAGTTCCATATAAAAAATTGGTTGAGGCTAAACAGAAAACAATTACTGTAAATAACAACACAAATATTAAAAAAAAAATTAATTGAGATATTGCCAAAGGAATGTATCATTTGACTTGCCATGAGTGAATATTTCTTGTTTGTTAATGTGCTTTAGATTATATTTGTGTGTAATGCAATAGTGGTGGTAGTGGTGGTGGTTTAAAGCTAATGGATGTTACAATAATTAAGCAGTAACATGCACATTGCATGTAGTGGTTTTTTTGTACCACATGCAAAGGGTGCAAGCATCCAAATTCTGCTAACATTGAATGAAAGATCTGTTCAGGACCCGAAATGGGACCTCCAGATCACTAATAATGTCATGCTGAATAAAAACATGTGACAGAGACCAGCAACATGTGTGTGCTCACATGAGCATACGTTTTAATTCATTATCATTTTTTTCACAAATAATTCATTTATCTTATTGTGTCAATATTGATAAACACATGTACTCTGGTCTCTGTCTCACAAGAAAATGAAATAGATTGACCTGCAAGAAAGTGATACTTGGCAAATCACGTTCCTTTTGTTTTACTTTTGCCTCGCATGTTGTTTGATTACATACCCTGCTATATATATGTATATAGATGTATACAGCCAATCAAAGCTTTTTACTTAGTGCTTTTTGTTTTATCATGCTTAATTAAATTTTGGTGATAGGTTGTGCAATAATGCTGTCACAGCAATGTGGGAAAACACCAATTGCCTCTATCCCCCTGTCAAGTCATTATCCTGCAGGTCTCTAGTTTCAAAACTGAAATCTGACTACTTATATTTTGGCAAAATTGGCTAATTGCTTGCCCTTGCTTTTTCTTTTACGTGTTGTTTGTATATGTCTGTACGTTCGTGTTCTCTGTTGGCCTTTGACCTCCAGTTCACGGAGTCTCGGCCTTCTTTCTGACAGATATCACTACTGTGAGAAGTGTTTTGGAGAAATACCTGGTGAGAATGTTACTCTAGGAGATGACCCCTCCCAACCTACAACGTAAGTATTTACAGTTGGTGTTCTTGCAAGACGGTACTGGCTTATCAAAAATTCTGAAATCTGTTACTTTCACTCAAATAAACTTCATTATGTCACCATAATGCTAATTAGCTTTACCATAACTTATGATTCAGAATGGCTGAATCATTTTAGTTTTATTTACTATTAAGAAATAGAAAAAATGTGATATTTCACAGCCCTTTATTACTAGTGACTTTCTGGGCACCTACTGCAGTCACAGGACCAGTGGTAAGAGACAGAATCACCAGTTTGATGTTGTATCGTTAGCAAAACTTGGTTGAAAGCTCGTTCAATTTTGAATAAATGTGCCCAAATTAGAAAATTATGGTGCTCAAAGGTTGCACAGATTAAAAGCTGGTGTATTGCACCATTATACAAATGTTCACCCCAATTGAGGTGGACATGCAGTTTTAGCAACCCAATGAGAAAAGCCGAGGTTGTCAATGATCTCTGAGGGTTTCTAAAATGTCCACTGCTGTTAGGGAAAACATTTGTATTATTAGCTTATACTGAGTAAATCTTAAAAACAGAAATAGTGGCACTTAATCATGGTAATCTTCCAGGTCACGCTTGTAGAGTTGAATGCATGTATGAACTCAAATATACAAGTTGAAAGAGTTCAAGAGCAGTGATTGAATTTTATTGAGTTTTTTCATTGATGCCTTTTTGACTCCCGTGTGCGATGTTCTGAACCAATATGTAGGTTTGATTAGTTTTGGGTAAAAATCTATGAATATTAATTACCTAATTTGCATGATAATTAACTTATTTTAAGCTGTTCTATGACTGTCCACTGATTTTTGAAGAACCACTCATTGGATTTCAATGAACTTGGCACATGATGCTCTGAACTAATGCGCAGATTTTATTAGTTTTGGGTAAA